TCAAGGCATGTCGGACTCGGAGAGGGCTAAGTTTGGTGAGGATGATCTGCTAGCATTGCTAAGCCACTTCTGCTCTGCTAAGAATTCACACCGCCTGTTCGAGGTTAAGCCTGATGAGTTGCCGAACGTTTTAAAGGAGTTCAATGTCATGAAGGCACGCCTTGCTTACTACATTTCTCTTGGCAGGGTGACTTGGGAGGCAGCGTGGGTGAGTTTGCGTCTGTAACGACGCAAATGCCAATCTGAGCATCCCGGGTTACGCCTTTGCTGTGTTACAATGGTATCGAGACGGGACCGCACGAATACCGAAATAAACTTCGGGTCGGCGGTTCGATTCTGGCAACCAGCAAGTCGCAAATTGGCGATTTCATGGTGTAATGGATAAACCAGCGCACTGGCGCGAGGTGGGATGGCTCCTGTGCTCGAAATAATGGCCGAGGACGTCCATTGCTAAGTGGGGGGCAATGTAACGACGCAAATGCCAATCTGAGCATCCCGGGTTACGCCTTTGCTGTGTTACAGCGTCCCAAAGCCCATCTCCTTCCGCGTATGATGCGTTTGGCTCAAGTCGCTACAATCCTGCCAACACAGACGGCATGTGTTGAGCGCGGATTTAGCCGGCATCATATTATTAAGAATCGCCTGACGAACCGGCTAAAGCTGGAAACGGTTGATTCACTACTTCGTGTGGGCATGTTGGGACCTGCTGCTGATACCGGGGTGAAGCCACTGATTGATCAGGCTGCTGGGATCTACTCGTGTAAGGGTTATACAGGCACTATTCACAAGTTGTTTTCTGATGTTAGCAAAATTAATTTGAAAACATACGGAGAGGATGATAACGAGGAGGTTGCGACGGACCTAGAGATTGAAGTACTGGTTCAAGTAACATATCCTGCTAGTGACGATGAGGCTTTTAGTGACAGTGACTACAACTTAACCGGTGGGAGATGTGGGTTCAAATCCCACCGGCGTCACCATGGGTTGTGAGGCTTGTTCACTGATAGTGTATCAGCATACCTGAGGCATTCCTCAGGGCAACCCGTGGTGTATGTGATGACAAGTCCATCACCAGAAGGCTAGGCGCCGAGGAGGAGGAGGAAATGGCTGCACAAGGTCAATGGAGCTGTCCAAGCAAAAGTACCTACCAAGAGGCTACTGTAACATGGCTAGGCCGAACCTCGCACGAGCCTTAGATGGTGACCTCTACGAGGGGTGCGGAATCCCCCAGCGGGTGAAGCGGGTCGTAGGGGGCTAACTACCCTCCGCCAGGACAAAGCGCAGGGTGCTGTGTAGAGTGCAGTAGTGTAAGGGTAGGGAGGCGGTGCGACATGCACGTGGCCTGAAGTTGTAACAGGAGCACCAGACTCCGGCAGGTTGCGATAACTGGTCGTGTTCCACAGTGACAGTGTGGCGTCCTCACCAACGATAGGTGGAACTCTAGGGTGGAAAAGGGCCCGTAGAGGTGATGCGGTGGGAATATAGCATATAGGACTGACTAGGTGCAGACCTCAGAGCGTTCCCCCCTTAACACACACCAGGTTGAGCGGACACCGGTGTAACAATAATAATAATAATAATAATAATAATAATAATAATAATAATAATAATAATAATAATAATAATAATAATAATAATAATGACAGTGACTACGAGACCGACGTAGAACGAGATACCGATGAGTCGTCCGTGGATGAGGATTTTGATGATGATGAGGAGGACGCGAAAGAGGAGCAGAAGGGATGGGCGGCCGCGGCGGCCAAGGCGTTTTGCTTTCGCTGAGTGTGCCGTGTCCCCGTGTGTAATGGTTCACGGGAAAATAACATAAATAACGATTTACAGGGCAAAAAAAATGCAAAGTGTCACTTTCCACAGCATTTTAGCCAAGGACAGTGTCCCCATAAAGGTTTTGCGGGGTTACGGGGGCCCCCCTAAGGTTTTCGGCCAGTACAGGAGCCTGGTACGGGGGCCCCTCCGTAAGGAAAATTTGGGAGGTTCGGGGGATCCCGCAAGTTTCGGGAAGGTCAGTGTCGAACCCTGATCCCCTCCCGTACAAGCCCCATCCAGGGCCCGTGCTGCTGCACTGCACCACCAGGCCGGTTGTCGCTGCTGCCACTGTTGCAGCGGTGATGGGCACCACCACCATCACAACACAACTAATAGGATGCCATAGCATATGTCGTGGGGCCACCGTCAGGGGAAGGGTAGACATTGAAGATGGAGACCGAGGTGAAGCGGGTTGGTTATGAGGGCGGGTTTCAGGGTATCATGGGGGGCCCCCGCAACCTTGGCGCCACATTCGGTAAAATGTCATCATGGCCGCAGTCGGGGGATGGCAAAACGAGGGGGGAAAGGGGGAAAATGCGGCGGGGCGGAATGGTTTGGAGGGCGTGTTTCAGGGCATGACGGGGGCCACCTGCAACCTAGGCGACGCATTCGTCCGAATGTCTCCATGGCTGCAGTCGGGGGATGGCAAAACGAGGAGGGAAAGGGGGAAAACACGGCGGGGCGGATAGTTAGGAGGGCGTGTTTCAGGGCATGACGGGGCCCCCCCCCAACCTAGGTGATGCATCCATTTGAGCGTCTCCATGGCCGCAGTCCGTGGATGGCAAAACGAGGAGGGAAAGGGGGAACACGCGGCGGGGCGGAATGGTTTGGAGGGCGTGTTTCAGGGCATGACGGGGGCCACCTGCAACCTAGGCGACGCATTCGTCCGAACATCTCCATGGCCGCAGTCGGGGGATGGCAAAACGAGGAGGGCAAGGGGGAAAACACGGCGGGGCGGATAGTTAGGAGGGCATGTTTCAGGGCATGACGGGGCCCCCCCGCAACCTAGGCGACGCATTATTTTAGCGTCTCCATGGCCGCAGTCCGTGGATGGCAAAACGAGGAG